GTCTTCTCCTTGTCAATCTGGTGCCTATTGCTGGCTTAACCTGCAGAGCTTCGTAGACACCCTCCACGTGTTCGTTTATTGAGTTCCGGCCCGAATGCCAGGCCTCGAGGAACTTACGCGCTCTGCGGTTTCTTGCTCTTCCAAGTATTTCAACCTTCTCCTGATCGAACTAATGGTCCTCAGAATCCATGTGTACTGACATTAGGGATTTTTCATCGTGGCGGTGGATGGCCAAACTATGTTCGTGCAGCCTTGTGCCAAGTTTTCTTCCAGTCTGGCCTAGGTAGTACTTGTCACAATTCTTGCAGGAAATTTTGGAAACTATACCCGATGTTTCTTCCTTACACAGTTTGTTCTTTACCTTGAAAAGTTTACTTCGAATAGTTCCCGTTGCTTCATGTACAACATTTATCTCGTGAGGCATTAGAAGACTCGCTGCCATTTCAGAAATCCCATGGATGTAAGGTAGGATTATCGTTTCTTTCTATTGCACATGAGGAAGCGAGTTGTGGTTAGTTCTTTGACATCAAGTAGTGTAGAATATAGCTTCTAGGACATGAATTTCGCTGAAGCATCCTAAATAGATGGTCCTCCTCCGCCTTCCTAAGTTGCGGCGTGCTACAGTGTGTCTGGGCCCGTTTGAAAAGCGTCCTCACGCAACTTCGCTTGTAAGTGGTCGGATGGTTACTGCGACAGTTTAAGATCTGATCGGTGTGCGTCGCTTTCCGATAAACTGTTGTTTCCAGTGACCCAGAAGCATGTCTTCGCACGAGCACGTCCAAGAATGACAACTGGTCATTGTTCTTTTCCTCTTTAGTAAAATGGATGCCGGAGAAAATATTATTGAGTAGCTGATGTGTTTATTGTAGTCCGGAGTTCCGCTGCACGAACATAGTTTGGCCATCCACCGCCACGATGAAAAATCCCTAATGTCAGTACACATGGATTCTGAGGACCATTAGTTCGATCAGGAGAAGGTTGAAATACTTGGAAGAGCAAGAAACCGCAGAGCGCGTAAGTTCCTCGAGGCCTGGCATTCGGGTCGGAACTCAATAAACGAACACGTGGAGGGTGTCTACGAAGCTCTGCAGGTTAAGCCAGCAATAGGCACCAGATTGACAAGGAGAAGACGTGCTCACTCGACCGGCTCAAGTGAACCAATCGAAGCAGGTAACAATCAATAGTCATTCCGAACTGGCAGTGATTTGCGAGACTCCGCGAATCAGGACGTAACAGCCGTACTGATGATGTTGCCTAGTCTGATAACGAAACGTCTGCAACAGAAATGCCCGGCTCGGGGAACAGGACAACCCTCTCATCTAAATTCCGAGCTACAGGTATCCTCAATAATTCCCAATCGAACACGTGTCTTTAACAATTCCTCACCAGACCTGTACATTTATATGTGGAATAAAAAAGTGAATGCCCCAAAGGTAGTTGAAACGCCATTTAGATCGCAGCTGCGTCTTACGCATGATCGAACAGGTCAGTCGCAATCCGCTTGGGCCGACGCAGTTCTATTATACACAGAGGTATGAAACATCGGCTATAATGTCGAAATACGAACGAATTAGATGATAGGAAAGAAAGGAGAAAGTGATATCAACAAAAGCAAAATGAAAAATTATGTGATGTCTTCTCTTTGACTAAAAGATACTGAAAAATGGCTGGTTGAATTATTTAAGCCAGCGACTCTACCAAGTAGCCAAATGACGAGAGGAAGTGCATGATGATGAGTACTACGGAATGCGTGCGAAGTGCTGTTCCAAACCAAATCTCGCAGTACCAATTAATTCAATACATCGTAGATAGAAAAGGAGGCTCAGTGGGATGGGACGGGATAAAGAGACTTACAACACAAACACCATTGAGATCTGTCCTTCGCCATGTCAACAAGTGTGTCCAATCAGAGGTATTCATCGTCCTTGGGACCCAGTTCGGCAGTCGGGAGACACCAACATCAAACTAATGGTCAAAATTCCTTTTGATCAAGTTATCAGTTGGTCTTCCCTCCTCTCTCGTGCATACCCCGGTCGCACAAGCAAAGCACGTCGCGGGAGTCTGTGTACTGTCATGCGTAACACGTGGTCAGTCCTAGCATCTGAAAAACTTTTCTGAACGCAAAACTCCAGTTACTTATAGTTAGATCGCGATGGTCTCAGCAGCCCCCGATATCCGTTTGTGGATACAGTTTAACCCTTGGCGAGCGGTTGGGTAAATGCTGCTTCCCCATTGGCTGTGACCCTAACGAAATGGGACCACTCAGAATACACCCCAGGGATATCACCGCGCATAGATTGCCTCCTTTAAGCGGAACGCAAACTGACCGTAAGATACAAGAGTCGATCGTTTCGTATCATCAAAAGTGTAGAACCTCTCCTCTGGTGATCAACTATATTCCTCACTAGGTAGCGGTTCGCGTAGCAACCGCATGTGGATCCCGAAGGAACGCAACGTTCACTGAGTAGAAGGCGGCAGTCCAACTGTTTTACCAAAAGATAGATCGTCTCAGACCGAGTAGTGACGACAACTGACCACCCCACATTTCAAAGGTAAACGAAAGCCAACGAACAATACCACGCGCGCGTGACAGTGTCTGAAGGCACAAACCAAACAGCTGCCTGTTTCATTTGAAATCGCTGTTCAACAATTTAACATCACATATCACATTGACGTCTATATTCTTGTCGAAACAAGAAACACCTGCCGCAGTCACTGTGATTGGAAATGACTATGGCCAATCAATAACAGTGTAGAAAGCATACTTATCACACCCATGAGTCACACCGCTGGCAGTATTCGGTGGAATCCGCATAAGACTGCGAACAGCCGCGGGACACTTGTTCCTATAAAGTGACGATTGGCAACTTACGTTGCGTGCTATACAACTCCATACACGCACACACACACACACACACACACACACACAAACGGCGTAGATCAAAAGGCATCAGATCAAAAATATCTGGTGGGAGTAGAGTAATTAGTGTTGCGTGGTGGTGCATCTGCTAACTTAGGCCATGCGAGGATTGAAGCATGTGGCATTTTTCGTGATACAGATAAGCCATTTTGTCAACAAGCCATAATGTAGTCTACGTTGCACAATGTGCAGTGAAAAGACACGCATAAGATCTAGATGTCGTTTTGAAGAAAACTGCGGTTAGCCTGATTATAATTCCCGATGAGACTTGTAATCCAATGAGATTTTTAGAAATGCAACCTCAACCATCGCTTAATCAAAGATAAGAAGTATTCCTCGCAGATCCAAAACTAAACTAGTGATTGACGGACTCAGTTGTTAAGCAACAGACTACCGGACATAAAGCAAAGTTGTGGGAGTGTGCAGTTAATTTGCTGGGTGTATACTTATGACATGGTCGTGGTGATCCGGTTTAGCGTTGCGCAAATACTGTGTTCATAGGATTGCTGAAAAGGGACCTCTGAAATACATTCTCTTATTTTATACGACTTTGTCGTCGAGTGGTTTGACGGCAAACGAACCAATTTCGTTGGCATTTGGCGTCGGGTATACGGATGAAAGCGCACGCGGCATACTGTCAGATGGTCGATGGGTCGCTTCCAATGACACTGTGGTCCAGTAAAAACCGAAACCAATTCCACGTGGTGTTCTGATTACCAGGGGGTGAGGAGAATTATGCCTTAGCTTGAAAAGTTCTGCCGCATTACGGAGTACGTCGACTATAATACCACAACAGGACCCCCAACTAATCAGACGGGATGTCGGATAAATTGGCATGCGAGCCACTGTTAAACCGAGTGGCTGCAAATCAAGTCAAACAGTGGAGTACGATTAGTTTACCTTTGAACACTTTCACTCCAAATGAGCCTGAACACAGTTGTTGTACCTGTAGCAATGTGGTTGTTCTTGAACTGGAAATTTTAGGGATCGGAAACAATGTACAAAGTTGGGTCTCAGTGCAAAAATTGACCAAGGATGCTAGAGAAAGAAGATAACGTTGGATAGCTAGGAGCGACTAAGAGACGAGTTACGATTGGATACATAAGAACTAATTGTGTGTGACGATGCGGGGCTCAACAAGGGAGGGCGCCGGCGTGACGCTAATAAGATGTGGAGTGCAAGCGAACTCACCGGGCCAAAGAGTTGTAGGGGGGTCAGTCGTATTTTCAAGAGGGTTCGTTGCAACCAGACTCATCATACATCCAGAAGAGCGCTAGACGGTCACTCCAACCTATTGAGACGCGATAGAAGCACGCCTCCGGTGGATCCAGCCACTTAAGCCAATTAGCCACGGATCCCCTGAACATCTTACATGCCAACGCGATTGGCAACGGCTTGCCAGGGGTGTCGTGGTTCTGTGGGGCAACTATGCCGTTTGCACGCCCATAATTCGCATGACGGTGAAGTATGAGCCACAGGTAATAATCAGTGTTGGCGATCTTCTATCATTACTCATGGCCTAGTGACATGGACCACTGGCGTCAAAATGTCATAGGTTCGGTTTCTGGTGGGGTCGACGAGTGCACATTACTGACGAATCCCAAAAGGGTGAAATGACAGTCTAGCGCTTTTCCAAATGTATGATGGCTGTCTGAGTGAGCGTCGCTGAAGCGAATCTACTCAAAATGTCATCAAGAATCCAATGAAGCCATCGGCTCGACGCCAGTAAACCCATGTAAAAACGTGTATGGTGCTTAACCAGCCAGCAGGCCTGTCATTGTTCGTATCATCAACACTGGTGCATCTACTCAGCATTGAGATATATGTCAAATGACCAGGGAATCTTATTACGACGAACCGACTGACATGAGATGAGAAGGCGTTCGGACAGTGTACTTTAGACAAGCTTGGAGGTTTCGGAATGCATACAGAAACCGAGCTGTTTCAAAACAGAGGAGGGGTGTGAATCGCACCCCCTGAAAGTTGCGAAACGCAGAAACTTGTAAAATGGCACTCAACAACTAGATGGAGTTTCTTGAATGCCACTCAATATGAATAGCGACGGGAATCGCAACCTCACCTGCCCAAGCAAATGCATGCGCGTAGATTGTTGGACCACCGTTGAGTAAACCATCCGGCTGAAGCAGATTCAGAATATCCGAAGCACTACGTGTTGCGTTCTCCTCCGTTCCATCACGATTGAGTGTATCTGGCCACAAACAAGTTGCGTAATCTAGCCGCATCTTCAGCGCAGCAGATACATCAATTTCAGAGGCGGTTGCACCAGGATAAGACTTATTGTCATTGGTCGATCGGAAGACGGTTACTGGACCTAATGGCCGAGGTAAATGCGGACCAGGCTGACAATCACCAGGAACTAAAGAAACTTTACATTGAAGTCCCATACCTGCGACAGACATAGCTTCGGTGACCTGGATGGAAAAGTGTAAAGGAACAAGAATAGGTTTCAAGGTAGATCGAGCTTTGAGTAAGAGGCACGCAGGATGCGAGATACAAATAGAATCGAATTAAAAGAAATGGTGTTATACTAGCGGCATCATAATACGGTTCAGCTGATCAGTCACATGATCGATGGACGGTGGATCCAGTTTGTTTGGCTTACGTTACCATCTTCAGCAGTATCTCGGTACTTTGAACTAATGCTTCGCTGTCATATAACTATAATGACTCCAACAGTGGGGAATAACTAACAGGGAGAGGGAGTAACCACTACAAGGGCTCAAACGACCTAAGCAAACGTTTAGGATTAATGCGTTTGCACCTTTCCAACAACGCACTGCCGAAAAGTTGTGCAATCTCCAGTGGTGTCCGGTAGACAGATTGCTTACTACTTTCGTTGCTATGCTATTCCCCAGGTAAACCTCTCATACACATATTAAACAGGCAGTCCGGTTGGGAGGGAACAGCAGGCGCGACACTGGAGACGGCTGTGGACTGTGTTTTCTGTGGCTTGGAGCCAAACACGCGCTGCGTTGTTCGACACCCATCCCGAAAACCGAGACGGGACAGTGTCGGTTTAGTCGCTAACGGACTATTTCCTACCTTCATTTACCCAACTTTGCGACAAAGGTTCTTTGCCACTCACTAAAAACTTGGATATTCGTCAGGAGGGATATTCCTGTACACTAACTTTCGTTCAATACCTGTTCCTGTGGAGGCATTCATACTGTAACGTGCGGATGACGTGGTCCAGGGTTATACTCGTTCGACAAAAGTCTTATTACTCAAGTTACAAGCCCTTTAGGATAGTTGTACATCGTGGTTCAGAGCTCGTGCTCTGTCGTCTTATGCATTGGGTGCTCTAACCAACTTCATACCAACGGAGAAGTAACTAGGTATCGCACCGTGCCACGATTGATCCTAGTCCCTTCATGTGAATGAAATATACACAGGCAAGGAAACTGCCGTTCTATGCATCTTGTCCGAGAACTTCCCATGTCCCTCGTTGTTTAGCATCACGATTTATCACTGCCTGAACACACTGCTGCTCTGCGATGTTTCCTAGTTTACCAGGGAAGCATTTCAAAGTAAGTGCTATCTCACTTGAGCAATTGTCCCTAGGCAGCGGTATTTCGAAATCGACTTATGTTTACATTATTGTATCTATCAGTATAAGTTCCCGCAAAGTGTTTCATTGATACCGCTTGAAATCACTTTCTCTTCATGGCGCACTGCCTAAATGTAACTCAACTTCATTGACCAAGTCGGAAGTACAAAACCATATGTGCCATCAGCACATGTGCCTGCTAGGCATCGCTCATCCCGCATTTAGCCTGTTTTTTTACGAGACGGAGACTGGACTTATCAGGAGTTAGCAATTAATCCTGCGTTGTGATGATACTAACATTCACCTGTGCTGATATACTGCCACTTTGTATTTGCTTGCGGTAAGCTTCATGTGTCGCGCTGCCGAGGAGGACTGTGCCATGACTGAACCTGCAACCATAATGAATGCATAGTTGACCTGCCGAACTACCTCTTCGTGGTGCCAGCTGGGTGGTTCGGGATTATCCCGTTCTAGAGAAAGGTTCGGCGGCGGTGTTCCAGGACGTGGTGAGTTTTCGCCTGGCAAGCGTTCTCCCTATAAAAAGCGACGTATGTCCGTTTAACATCACTGCAACGTCTTGGATTTGACTCGCCACTAAATAAAGTCACTGCCCCTTGCTTCACCTCGCTGGAGCATTGTAATCATTCAGCCTGACGCTGAATTACTGGGAGTATTTGGCCTCTGATTGACAGCCAGCCAAACGAAAGGAGTATCAACCGAGCAATCGGTCACCGGCTCCCAATGGGCGCGATTCCCTGAATTCGCCCCGCTGCCTTGCGGGTCAGGTCCCTATGACCAAAGGCTCCGGGTGGGGCCACCTTACCTCGGCCTGGGCAACCGGGAAGCTGTATGCCCACACAACACATGAAATGATGGATTTACAACTCTGATCACATCTCTCGCTCTCTGACCTCTCTCTTTTCGGCCGGGGTGCCGGCGGCCGGGCATGCTAAACCTCACTCTACCGTACCGCAAACCACGTTCTTCGTTCCACGTTTATTCAACCCTCCTGTTCTTGGCAACTCGCCTTCAATTTCGAGTCTCCAAAAGTGCATTGCAAATAAAAACGGTACCTCTGGCCTCCTCAATGAACCGCTCGAAACCGATCGCACACATTACAATACCAACAGCAAAGATTGTATTGCACTCCGCTCGCCCTTCAAACTAGCTACGTTCAAGGTTCGAACGCTCATGCAGATTGGTGCACAAGCTGCTCTTGTTGCCTAACCGAAACCCGTTTACAAGACTCCAGCACAACGCTGCGATTGCTCTCACCCTCCCCAAGTTCCAATTGCACATTCACCTTGCGTTTATCTCGAGATGCGACAGCGGCAGCCTCTGGTTGCGCCGGCGTAGGAGTTGCGTTAAACGTGCGTGCTGAGGCAGCGCTCACTGACTGGTTCCCGGTCAACAGTCGTCTTTGTGCAGTCCGCTTGGAAAGCTCAGTGCGATCTTCCAGCCACGGGACCAGTAAGCGCTGCTTATTCATTGTAGCGGCGTACGCTCCAACGGACTGCAGCCCGGATGAAGCTAAAGACGAGTTCTACCACCAACTCACCGATCTCCGCAAGAAACGCCGCACAGACATCGTGATACTCGCCGGTGACTTAAATGCGCAGGTCGGTAGGCTAGAGGTTCATGAGCGCGAACTTGGGGGTCAACACAGCCACGGTACTCGCAGGACGGACAACGGCGATCGACTCCTGAACTGTGTGTCGACCACGGCTTGTTCCTCTCCAGCATCAATTTCCGACGTTCCTGGCGCCAACCAGCCACCTGGCGACCTCCGGCGCCTGGTCAATCTTGGACGCAAATTGACCACATCGCTGTTAGTTACCGTTGGCGAGGCTGCATAACGGACTGCAAGTTAGAAAGATACATTTACCTGCCTTCTGGTCATGCGCTCGTGTGTGCTAAATTCGTTCTGCGCTTTGGAGGCACCCAACAGCGTCGCCAAAATCGGTTTGACACAGATAAGCTCGCCGTTCCAAATGTTCTCGGCGCATTTCAGAACACATCAGCCTCCAATCTACGTTCTCTATCCTCCGATGTTGAGACACACTGGGTACAGATCAAGAGCGCCTTACGAAAGTCTGCTACCCTGGTCTGTGGCTTCACTAGACGAGCTGTTAGTCATTGGAGCTCCGCACAGTTTCTCCAATTAATGGAAAGTCGTCGAACAATTCCCGCCGGAGTTGAGTACAACGCACTACGCAGAATCACAGGTGCTGAGCTCAGACAGCTCCTCAGGAAGGATCGCGAGGTTTGGTGGACACAGCGCGTCGTTGAAATGGAGCGGGCATCCTCATCAGGAAACTCCCGCAAACTCTTCCAACTTATTCGCTCCACGGGAGGCAGAAGACCAACAGTGAGTGGGGTTTTGGGTGAAAATTACGGTGAACTAATTCACAGTCGTCACCGTCGTCTGGTACGATGGGCAGAGCACTTTGACGGTCAATTCAACTGGCTAGCAGCGCAACCGAGTCTATCTTCCGGGGTTCACAGTGCTCCCTGGTACGTGGATGTTTCTCCACCGACAGAGGCTGAGGTTTCCGATGAGTTGCCTATTAAAACGCCACAAGTCTCCTGATTCAGATGAACTTCCTCCTGCCCTCTTCAAATCTGGAGGTCCTGGTCTCACTAGCGAACTGACATCTCTATTCCATTAGATTTAGACTACTGAAACCATTCCATCCGACTGGAATTTAGCGGATGTTGTACCTGTTTACAAAAAAGGAAACCGGACCATTTGCTCTAACCAGCATGACATCAGTCTCATTTGTGTCGCATCCAAATTGCTCGCTGCCCTATTCTTGCGGAGGCTCAGTTGCGTACGGGAACAGCATCTGCGGGTCGCGGTTGCGTCGATCACATCTTTACGATCCGCCAGATACTTGAATATCGCCATACGTCCAGTTGACCAACTATAGTCATATTCATGGATATTCGAGCCGGTTTTGACTCTGTTGTGAGCGGCTCTTTGGGACTGCTTACTGAAGAGGGGAATACCTGAGAAGTGCATCAGCATTCTCCGTACTATTCACCATCGAAATTCGGGCCGCGTGCGAGCATACGGAGAAATTTCACCCCATTTCAGTATCACTAGCGGTGTTAGACAGGGTTGTCAAGCCTCTCCATTCTTGTTCAACTTCGCTATGGACGTGATTCTGGATAACTCTGAGTCCTGCGGTGTTGAACTTCTCCCTGGTGACCGCCTTCGGGACTTAGAGTACGCCGATGACGTCACTGTTATTCTTCGCAAGCCGCCCAGCATGTGATGCTCAGACTAGAGATGTCCGCCGCCCAATTTGGGTTGAGCTTTGCCCCATCCAAATGTAAGGTCCTATTACAGGACTGGCCAAGTGCATGTCCTTCTCTCACCCTTTCGGGGCATCCTTTGGAAGTGGTCGACAAATTCATTTATCTTGGGAGTTGTCTTAGTATTGGAGGTTTGACAGATGAGATATCTTTGCGTATCTCCAGGGCTAGAGTCGTTTTCGCTAACCTTCGTCACTTGTGGCTTCGTCGTGATCTCTCAAGGAACGAGTCTGTAATGCTACGGTACGAACGATTCTGCTGTACGGCTGTGAGACTTGGCCCGTTCGCAAAAGCAATGTTCAGCGGCTATCAGTCTTCGATCTCCGCTGGCTGCGAAGCATTGCTGGTGTACGATAGCAGCACCACATAAGTAATGAGGAAGTACGTTGGCGAGTCTTCAGATCTAACGAACTCCGCCGATCGATTGATAGCATCATCTCACTGCGGAGGCTTCGCCGGCTTGGCTATGTGATTCGCATGCCTATCCAGCGGCTACTAAGACGAGCCCTATTTTGGAGCACAGGCGTGGCTTGGAAGCGACGAAAAGAAGGGCAATGTAAAACTTGGATCCAATGTGTTAATGCGCAAATGTTGAAGCTGGTTTTTGTCGGGCTTTCCCGACTCCCGGGTTGGGGACCAAAGGACCCCGAGCACATCTGGTTGCAAACGCTGGAGGATATGGCCAAGGACCGTACGCAATGGCGCACTTGCTGTGAGACTCTTCTACCCTAACAGTTGTTTTCTCTTTCATGCTATCCTTTTTTCTTATATGTTGTGAGACTCAGCCAATTATATTGTAGTTGGTATAGTGTTGAACATATATATATATATATATATATATATATATATATATATATATATATATATATATATATATGGTTGGCGGCATCCGGTTTCGGATTTGCCTGTCACTGTGGCAAGCCACAGGACGCCTGCGCCTACAGAGGGACCATGGATGGCTTGCGCTGCACCACCCACAGCTCCAACCACATACCCCATATCCAGTGTAAACCCGAAGGAATAAGACCGGGAGGCATGCGGATGGGAACCAGGTTTCATCAACGGAGCCGGCCCACACTCCTTCACAGGCAAACACAAGCACGCTGTATTTGGGGAATCAAGCGCACACAAGGCGGTGGCTGGACCGTAGTCCGCTCCACACTGAGTGCATGGAACCGCTCTTTGAGCCTAGCACGGCCACAAGAACCGTGCACCCCGTCCCCTCCAGCAACGACCAACTGTCTCCTGGAGCCAGTATGAACGATGTAGTGGGTAATAGACAGGTAGGCACCTTGTCAACATACACATCAAGCGAAACCACACCGGGGATATCAAACAACAGCCATTCACTTTAAACGACAAGTTGAAATAAATAAATCCAACAATGCATACAGATACGGTGGCATAACTCTTCGCTAATTTACCATATGAAGTAAGTGCGTTAACAACAAATCCGTGATAAGTAAGAAATGTCCACAAGTTACTTAAAAATGCTACAAAACGAAACAAAACTACCGAAGATAAGCGCAATTAGTGTAAGCAACGTGGCCAGTTAATAGAACATTATTCAGGGAGGCAGAACAAACCAAATATATAGCGGAATGAAATTTATCCAGCTTAAAAAGACCTAGTTTAAGTGTAAGTTGGTTTAGCCCAACTGCGGTGAAGAAGCATCAAGAATGCAACATCAGCCTCAGCATGGGGCACACATACATACATGGTTGGCGGCATCCGGTTTCGGATTTGCCTGTCACTGTGGCAAGCCACAGGACGCCTGCGCCTACAGAGGGACCATGGATGGCTTGCGCTGCACCACCCACAGCTCCAACCACATACCCCATATCCAGTGTAAACCCGAAGGAATAAGACCGGGAGGCATGCGGATGGGAACCAGGTTTCATCAACGGAGCCGGCCCACACTCCTTCACAGGCAAACACAAGCACGCTGTATTTGGGGAATCAAGCGCACACAAGGCGGTGGCTGGACCGTAGTCCGCTCCACACTGAGTGCATGGAACCGCTCTTTGAGCCTAGCACGGCCACAAGAACCGTGCACCCCGTCCCCTCCAGCAACGACCAACTGTCTCCTGGAGCCAGTATGAACGATGTAGTGGGTAATAGACAGGTAGGCACCTTGTCAACATACACATCAAGCGCAACCACACCGGGGATATCAAACAACAGCCATTCACTTTAAACGACAAGTTGAAATAAAATAAATCCAACAATGCATACAGATACGGTGGCATAACTCTTCGCTAATTTACCATATGAAGTAAGTGCGTTAACAACAAATCCGTGATAAGTAAGAAATGTCCACAAGTTACTTAAAAATGCTACAAAACGCAACAAAACTACCGAAGATAAGCGCAATTAGTGTAAGCAACGTGGCCAGTTAATAGAACATTATTCAGGGAGGCAGAACAAACCAAATATATAGCGGAATGAAATTTATCCAGCTTAAAAAGACCTAGTTTAAGTGTAAGTTGGTTTAGCCCAACTGCGGTGAAGAAGCATCAAGAATGCAACATCAGCCTCAGCATGGGGCACATATATATATATATATATATATATATATATATATATATATATATATATATATATATATATATATATATATATATACTGAGTGCATAAAGCACACTCTAGACTTGAATGTCCCATCGAGCCTTACGGAACCATAGATCCAGTAATCATAACAATGTCTTCTGCATGCCGAACGCTATTCATTTAGTATTCTGTAGACTGTCCGTTGCGGCCAGACGGTCTCACACACATCCGGAAAAGCACTAAATGGTCGTTTCATCCTATTGGGACTTGTCAGCAGTGCGCAACTTCTGGTTCCACTAGGAAGCGTACCCAGACCTATCGACGTTAGCGATTTACGTCACTAATCCATATTCGTTAATTTAACACAATGATCTGATCAATGCTACATAACGTTCGCCTCAGGACTCAAACGTTGTAACTAAGCATGAGCAGTGATTCGCAAGCAGTGATGGTCATATACTCCAATAGCTATGTTCCACTATAGTATATAAGAACAGTATTCGACGTTTTCCAGTATACGCAGCCACTCAGGCCGGGGGGAATTTCCTTTTTTGGAGTCGCAGATGAATAAAGGCATAGCTAGTTTTTGCAACACGTAAGGAAACTCCAGAAGGCGCACGTGTTAAATTGGCAACAAAACTCAAAAGCGATGAGGATAGAAAAGCCAATGCGAAATAGGTTAAAAAGTTATCAGACATAACGCGAGTGTGTTTTATCTTTGTTTTCCTGTTCTTGACTCGGACGTTTTCCGAAATATATTTTATCCATTGCTCTCATTTTCAGATCCAGGTATCATTATTTTTATGGTGATCTACGCGGAGGTAATTGGATTTACCGCACTTCGGTGCACAGATCATAGTTGGTCAACTGGACTGATAGAAGTCTGGGAGAGTTAAAATCTGACAAGCTCCATCCATATGATGATAACCAATTTGGTCCCTTGGAATTGGGGTACCCAGCCATTTGTTGCCATTGACAAAATTTTTCCGTGATCAGCCCCCAATAATGCATTTTGGTTTTCAAAATGGATTAGTAAGTGGAGCGATGCAAACTAGGGGTGTTCACTCTCGTTCCCATGGGACTACATAGGCTAGAAGTAGCAATCCTTAGGAGTATGATGTCACCTTGGGCGCAATATTCGCAGCCCCTTACTTCAACATCATTTTAGGTGGAAACTGTCGTAAAAGAAAACGAAGCGAAGAGAACGTACGGAAGCGAAGTCCATCCGGTACGCTGAAGCGAATGCGTCGCCAAGTCCCTTGTGAAATGCTTCTGGCTTTGGAAGCCGGTCGACATCGGAAGAATATTTTGACACGTAATTTGTATCAGGGAGTGCATGGTTCAATACCGTGCGCTCCACCGGTGTCAGCTCCAACAGGGATTCGATGGATGAGATAAGATTCGTCTGTTGCGGATCGGCACGTCGCAAAGTTTGCACCAGCGTGACGATGGCTCGTGATATTGGGTGCTTCACGGTGGATTCAGCACTGGCCAACAAGTACAAAAAGCGACTTGGCGACAAGTAATCAGGAAGGGTGAAATTATCCTCCTGTGCATTTTGTTGACGCGCCTGAAGAAAATTGGATTTTAAATAGGAAAGTATGTGTAACTTTATCTATGTTACGATGAACTGGGAATGATGTGGCAGGGAGAAAACAACGATCACATAATCGACTGAAGATATACAACCCATATTAAAACGGGGAACCCCAGACACGCAGTTATTGGGTGTGCTATTGAAGTTAAGGCGTTAACACGTGTTAGGTTTGGATTTCAGTGGGCCCTCCATAAAAAGGCACGCAGTCGATGGGTCTCGTGTAGGGGGAATGGGTTAGTTGACCAGTTTGACAACAGTGGCCTCAGTTGGTGGCCGCGTAGTGTTAAGAAGAGAGCGGATAAAATCGGTAACAAAGATGAGAGATAAGCCATAACACTTAAGTGGTAATACATAACACTCGCCTGACCGATGTGTGCCGCCCTCAAAGCTGGAAAAGTACAGAACGCCAACCAACCCACTGGGTCAGGTAATGACACCACGTTGAATGGCAGAAATAAGAATCCGAAAAGGCTCCAAGCAAAAGGCACTTGCGGGTTAGGAGAATGTCATCGATTAGTTAAAATAGGTCTGGCTTGCTCGCACTGTTTGGAATGGTATCATCCGAAATGTGCAAACGTGTCCCAACAACAGGTACGAGAGCGAAATAGCTCCCAAGATGCACTTTGGTTCTGTACTGCGTGCTCCACCATCCCACTCGTTAAGTGCTTGCTTATCCTAGTTCAGAAGTGCGACCGGTTAACCGCAGAAGCCGAGCAGAGGATAAACGATAAGATTACTTCAATGGAAGCGAGTATGCACCACGGAAGCGTAGCGGCTTCTAAGCAACGGAATGCTGCACAATCCGCTTCCCTGAACCGCAATCAGCCACGTCCCCATCTCCGTTGTCTTCTCCAACATTGGTAGAACGCCGGGCGAAAACTGACCGTACCTACGAGAGTCAAACAGTACTCATGGCAACGAAATCAGGCACCACTCGAAACGTCTGGTCATACCAATTCCACTAGACCTGACATCTAGCATTAACAAGGATGAAGCAGCCGAACACCAACCCTCGGTACCTGTAGCTCAAATGTCTCTTGTTGAGACAAAGCCCCCGGGAACTTCAGTTACATATGCAGAGATTGCTGCCGCCGTTGCGACCTCTTATGTTGTAAACACCGTTAACGGGAACTGAGGGACAAACAGTAAACAATCAACATTTGTCAGCAGGTCAGGATAAACGATTACACTACCTAGTAGGTTAACAAAAAAAGGGATACAACAATAGTGCCCGGACTGTTGTGTGCTCAACTGTCCCCGAATTTACCGCCATCACATTATGGGGTAAGTTATCGGACGATCAAGACCAATGGAACTCATTGTGCGTGCTGATGAGTGTCAAAGTCGAACCCGTAAACTTATTACGAATTACTGGTCATCCGAATTCGCCACACTGTGGAGAATCCAGATTTATTCTAGTAACACTAGAATCCTCCACTGACATAGAAAACGTTTTGCTCTCCGCAAGCGCGCTAAAACACGGATCCGGCGGGATACGCATCTATCCTGATGTCCCTTGGAGCGCGCGACAATCAAAAAGAACCACTGAAGAGGGACACAGCAAGCAAGACCGCCTAAACACAATCTTCATACATAGCGTGTCAGAACACCCTTCTAACGATGTTCAGGGGACCGGAAAGCACGATTTAGAACAGTGGCGGTCCATTCGTGAAACACTTTCTTTGGATAATATTGTGGCGCTATCGCTCACCAGGATACCTCTCTCACCAAATTATAGAGGATGCGGCCCTAGGATCTTAAAACTTGTGGTTCAGTCAGAGCAACAAGCAACGGATGTTTTGGATCGATGGCGGAGAAATCAGAAAATTCTTCCTTCTGAACTTCGGTTGAAGGTCGCAGAAACTTTGCAAAGTTCAAATATCAAAGCACCTGAAGCATCAAAGGTACCGACGATGATACAAGGTCTTAACTTTACTGCTGCATTACTCGACTCTGACGTAGTTTTAAACGAAGATTAGGACGCACCTTAGCCGAATCAAGTTTCAGACGAGGTATCATTATCCCATCAAAAAATGAGTAACTGCCGACCTCCAATCGGTCAGCATTCTCCCACACTTGAATTCTTTAGCCCTCTGTGGGCTCCTAGAAACCGAGAAACTGATTGCTTATATACAAATGCTCAGGGTCTTTTTAATAAGCTGGCCGAAGTGAAAGATCGCCAAGCTTCATTGGTATCACCGAGACGTGGTTGCACACTGGAATGATGGACGCTGAAGTTTTGCAACCGGGCATGTCACTGATCCGGAACGATAGTCTTACAAATAGGGGAAGGGGTAACCCTGTATTACCGAAGCGACTTACAGTGCGAAGCCGTGGAGGATTCAGACTCGCAGTTCCCCGACTCTCTCTGGTGCCGCTTGCAGTTAAACGGCAGAGACGTTTGCCTTATTGTCTTGGTGTACCGCACCTCTAACTCAACAACCGAAACGGATTGTCACCTGAAGGCTGCTATAAGACGCACCCTAAAAGGAGGATACACACTTCCTTATCATGGGATTCCAACGTACATTGTTTAGAAACCCCTGGCACGATCGGAGAACAGTCCAAATCCGATCTGCAGGAGCTCGTTAACAGTGTTCCGCTTTACATTCACGTCATTTGGCCCACCCGGTTCAGAGCAGGTAACAGGCCATCTGTGCTGGATCTTGTGCTTAACAACACGGAGGATATGATTGATGGGTTGGTTGTAGACTGTCCGTTGGGTCGCAGTGATCACGCAGTCATCGGTTTCAACTTCGTCTGCTATGCGGAATATCGGAATAAGAACGATGAGACTGTGCGAACCATCACAAGCTACGATCGATTAGCCCAGCTCGTCAGCGCTACAACTTAGTCGTTCCTTGCCGAAGAACCCCCGGAAGTCGCCTGGCTCGAGTTCGTCAACAAATTCAGTCAGCTGATTGCAGAGGCTTCAGAGATAAGAGTTTGCCACGCGTGTAAATCAGTTTCTTTCGTTAGGAGCAGTACTGAAAAATGGATGACAGTACGCAACGCAGCATAGCGAGTGTACAGAGAAGCTCCAGCACCGGAAACTTAAGACAACTACGTAGACCAACGTAACCACTGCACTTAACTACTCAGAGAAGACAAAACTGTGTATCAGCAAAACATCTCAAAAACCTTCAGTGCTAACCACAAACTGCTGTACAAGCACGTCAATAGTCTACGAAAGGTGAGGCAAGGATTTCTTCCACTCAGGACGGCCAATGGCCCAACAAGAACGGCGGTGAAAACAGCAAATTTGCTGCGGCTGCAATATGCCCGCACGTTTCAGGGGGTTTTGCCAACAAGTGATCTTCCAACCTTTGTCGTCTCTCAACCAGGACTAACCTGCACCTCTTTTCCCGCGGAGACTGTATTTCAAAATCTGACGTCTCTACACAAACAGCTCGCCGGGTGTCGATAATATTCGTCCAGAGACGTTGGAAGCATCAGCAAGTCAAATGGCCGGACTTTTAGCTCAGCTTTTACAACGCTGCTTAGACCAGAACCAAGTTCCCGCTATATGAAAGCTTGGAATAATAAGCCCGATTCAAAAAGGTGGAATCAGAGGTGATCCCGCCTACTACCGCCCAGTATCCCTTCTTCCTATCCTCTCCAAGGTCATGGAATCCATAGTTGCCGATGCACTGTTGTGTTACATCATCATCAACAACAACAACAGCAGTACATCAGCCATTTGAACTGATGCTTCGTTGCCATACAACCATGAGGACCTATGAAATAATGAATAAGAAGAGGGAGAGAAGGGTGACTTACCTGAAAACCTTAATGCCCTAAGCAAACATTCAGGGTCAAGACGCCTACACCTTGTGTTGACAACATACTGTCACAAACAGCTGGCTATCGTGCAAAGATAAGGCGGCATCGGTGAGACAGCTTCCTTGCGGCTTTCACTGCCACGCGTCACAATCAGCCATTACCCCGCAGATAACTCAGCACCACACTTTAAACAGGCAATCCAATAATGAGGCGGCAGCAGACGCGCCACTGGAGTCGGTTGCGAGCTATGTCCTGTAAAGTCTCTAGCCAAGCACAAGGCGAGTCACGTGGACTCCAGCCCGGAAGATGAGACGGACCAACGGCATCCAGTTTGGCAGTCAGTGACTTCATTTGCCGCTGCCAAGTCAACTTCTGTCCACCTCGAGCCTTGCATCACCCTACACCTGGTAGACTGAACAAGGCTATCCTAGGTAAGCGGTGACCAGGCATACGTAGCACGTGCCCAAACCAACGCAACTTATTCAGTGCTATCAGTTCTTCTAGGTAGCTAGAATGAGAATCACTTCCTAGTACTCGCCTACGCACATCAAGGTTGTGGACACGCTGGTGCAATCCGACTCCAGCAATGTTACGCAGACAACGGTGATCAAAGACTTCAAGGCGCCACAGATATTCAGACCGAAGGGGCCAAGTTTCGCTATTATACAGTAGAACGGCTCCCACTGTGGCCTTGTATACACGGTCTTACAGACGAAGGGAAACTCCCTTCTGTCGCCAAAGATACCACAGATACAAGGAGACAGCTCTGGCCTTTGCTATGCGTGAGCTGACTTCAGTTTCTATTCGCCATTCGTTTCTGATGCAGTTGCCAATTGATCAACCACCCCGAGTTCCGGGTTTACAAGCGTCAAGGGGTCATCAATTGGCTTTTGGTCCTGAAGCAACACTTTGCACTTTGAAGTTGCGAAGTGCATACCAAATAATGGGACCACTCTGGACAGACTATTCAGGGTTGATGGTGCCGCCCCAACATCGTCGAAAAGCAACACGATATCGTCCGCACAATCTAGGTCAACTAACCTTTCATCAGGCAAGACCTCAATGCCTACATCGTGAGATTCCTCAAGGGAACACCCCATGATAGAATCCACGACGAAATTGCACAGAAACGGGGAAATCGGACAACCCTGACGAACGCCACTTGTGGTCGGAAAGCTATCCGATAGGAC